TATATTTAAACACATGAAGGGTTTCGATTTTATTTTTTCGGCACCCACGAGAGGGGGGATGGGGATATGACTCATTTACAAAAATCCAAACTGACCCAAATATATAGGTCATTAATTGCCACCTCCGCCGGCGTGGGCGGAGGGATGCCCGAAAAATTCTAATTGCAACAAGGGACGAGGTGCGACAGTCATCCAATGCACTTCTCGACGACAGACTTGCAATAAACAAAAGATAAAAATGCATTGGGTTACAATGACGCCATCTTGTAGGTTGTACACCTGTCCACATATTTAAGGGAAAATATCGAAAATTATGTATTGAGCGTTTGCGTTACGCACAAAAAACGTGGAAAAAAGCACGGGGTGACGGTCGAGCTCACCCACTCCGTCATTTAAAGAGGTTAATTACAAGTAAAATCGGCGTAAAGGTAAATCAAGGTAAACCTTACCTCCGTACTCGTATTTTTCTGTCGTCGACGTGCTCGCAAAGCTTAAACTAAAGATAAAAACACTAATCACTCTTAATATTAACATATTGTTCTTTTGTTTATAAATTCACCGTACAGCACACTCTTTTACTTATTATAACACGGGATTTTTCATAGCGATGATAAAATAATGTCCTTTATGGACGGCAGTAGTAGTCGAATTCGTTTAATCTCGTATTTACTTTCGAACGGACGCGATGATACGCGAACTTTTTCCCCCGCCAGAATTGCGCGCGGAGAAGCGCTAAATTTAAATTATTCCGCCGGAAATGTGGGATCCGTTTGATGTGGTCTAATTAAAATGCGGCGAATTAGACTATTTTCTGGGTTAAAGCCAAACACTTCGTTGATTTATTGCTGCGATTCACAAAAAAACTTCGGCCTTTGCTATCAGTCACTTAAATTTCTAATTGATACATGGGGATCTGAAAGTTTTCCTCCAGAAAAGCGACTCTAAAATTAAGAAACCGGCTTTAACGCGCGTTTTATCCCCAAAGCTTCCAGTTTTTAAGTTTAAAGCAATGCTTAGATTAAGTTTTGAATAAAATCCATTGGGCATTTCAAGGAAAGGTTCTATGGATTAGGAAGTTGTTAAATGAGTTGCCTAACCACATGAAATACTAACAAGCTCGTGGGTTGTTGGGTAAGATTATTATAAAACCCCTAAAGCAGATCTAAAAAAACGGAAAAGCATCTCGGTCCCACATAGCATTCGATATCTTATGTATATACATTTTAAATCCATAATGTACGGGGAATATCCTGTCCATCTTATGTATATACTATGTATATTCATTATAGACATATGTATTTTATGTCCAGTATGGATATTCTATAAATATACATTTTGGATTTTTAGGCACACACAATGTATGTATCTTTTATGTATAAATCTTACACCTCCTCACGAGGAACTATGGGATTATAGTGGTTGCTCTTTCCCTTTTTGATGTGTCTGTCTGTGCTCCAGTGAGGCGTTTTAGGGATCTGTAGTTATCCAATTTGCCTCAGTGTCAGACATTAGAATGGCTTACGCAATATTTTATGTGCCGCGCTATTCATTACCCCTTTTATTTGTTTGTTTGTGTTGTTGTGTGTTACAGATTGGCAGAAAGCGTCCTTCTTGAGCTCAACAAGCCCATTGCGACCTGTAGTTCAAACAATAATTTTTTTATTTCGATGACTCCTTGATATAACGTTTGATTACATACTGGTTTTCGATACAATCGAATTGTAATTACTACCCTTGCTTGGTATTCGTTTAAAGATTCTAGCTCCATTGTTTACTGCGGAAACCTGTTTTGATATTAATACTTTTTCCGACTACGTGTTGATGTTAAAGATGCAGTAGCGGTATCCGGTATGTTATGGGTGAGTTTATCGAGTCGGATGAGGACTTTTCGTGTTCGTTTTGTGAGTTGCGTATGTGGGGGAGATTGGGTGACCTGTTTGATGTGGTGGTGGTGTGGGGAATTTGCGTAGGGTAGTGGAATATGATGGGGTGGCGGTAGGTAGTTATTGGGTCGATATAGAAGACGGGGTATGTGTGCAGACGAGGAGTGGACACATTACAGGGGAGTCAATAATGTGGGATTACACGCTGTATATGCAACCAAAGACTAGGCATACATTTTTCAGAGCATTACGAGCTTGTTTTTTTTAAGTTTAATTATCTTAGAAACCAAATAGCTAATAACATAACAACGAATTACAAATTTGTGTGCTCGATCTAACATTGCAGTACGGAAATTTAAAAACCCTAAATTAAGCAAGACCTTCTACAAATTTAGGGGCGTGATATTCGCACATTAGAAATGATTCGAGCATTTATTTCGCATACAAACAACGCTCATTAGCTACCGTAGTAGCCCTTAATTTAAACGCTCATGCTAGAGGTCGGCGTTTTTTGTTGTTTTGTAATCGCTAGCGTATGCGTCCAGAAGAAAGGTTCAATCTCGGACAGTCTCTTGTTTAACGTTTCCGGTACGAATAGAAACGTGAACGCAACGCCGGCCGATGCCATGACCGAGTAAAAATACTGAAGATTGTGCAAGCCGCCGAGCGCGGTTAGCATACCTTGGTAGCTGGACACGGAGGCGAAAGAAAATACGAAGAGAAGTCCCAACGCAGTGTTCGAGGCAATTCCACGCACGCGAAGAGGGAAGATTTCTCCACAGAGCGAGAAAGGTATGCTCATTACACACGTGGTGCTTATGGTATATATGACCAGCATATATAACGGCACCTGCAGGTATTCGGTGACGCCTGTAATGTTCAAGTAAGTGAGCCGTTTGTTTCTTCACCAACTCACCGTCGGCAATCCACTTGGTATACAGCCCAGAAATTCCCATCGACACAGCCATTCCGAAGAAACTGATCATCAGTAGTGGGCGTCGGCCGTACTTTTTCATAAGCCATACCGAGAGTACCGTCATGCCCAGACGTACTATTGCCAAGTAGTTTGAGGCTAAGTAAGGATCCAGTTTGGTGCCGATCTTCTGCGAGGTGATTTAGATACAGGTCTACGATTCACATTTACTTACGTCAAAGAAGATGACAGTATTCATCAGAAGAACGTTTACACCAGAGAATTGTTGGAAGAGTAGAACCATGGTTAAAATTATAAGAGGTTTGTATACAATTGGAAGACAAACCATTTGGAGTGTATTGGTCGCTTTATTGTGCTCCTGTTCGTTTCCCATCTTCGACACTTCATGCTCTACCAACTGTTCCAGTTGGATTGGATCGTTGGTCAGATACTTGTTAAGCCATGTCAAGGACTTTTTGGCTTCATCGATGTGGTTTCGCGATACTAACCACGAGGGACTGTTTGGAAGAGTGTACAACAGGCTGTTCGCTACCACACCGTAAGAGCATGAGAACCAGGCTACCATTCTCCAAGACGCAAGGTATCCGTTGAGGTTTGTCAGAAGTGATCCTAAACACTAAGGATTAATCAACTCTAATTCCGGTATACTGCACAAACCTATCCCGAAGAATACAACCGGCATTGCTAGTAGTGCTCCTCGAATTTTGGGAGTGCTAATCTCGGAGATGTAAACAAAGCAAGGTCCCATTTGAAAGGCTATGCTCAGTCCAGTTATTACTCGTCCAACCATAACGATTGCGCTGGTTTTTGCTAAAGCAATAGTGACCCAGCCGACAACGTGAGGCACCACCGTGAGTTTCAGCACGCAAAGCCGCCCACATTTATCCGTGACCAAACCGGTAAGGACCGACAGTAGCGGAATGACCAGACTTATGCAATTCACTAAAACTAATCGCTGATCGCGCTTACTGGAAGAGTGGTTTACCTATCCACAACTGCTCGGTGTCCGTAACGTGGAGCGCGTGTACACCATCTTTCAGCTGCGGAACAAGAACCGCCGAGTAAACCACCCCAACTCCAACTGACATGTACACGAAACAGATCACCAGAGTGGCGTAGATCTAAAATGAAGATCGGTAGACGAAATTAAACAACGCACCTACCTGTGGAAGGTAAGCCTTGAAGTTATGTGATGGAGCGTTCCTCATTTCGTCTTCCATCACGCAACTCCGCTTTCAAAGTGCAGAAAGATATTATTTCACACGGCGATAACATTATCGCGTTCAGAGGTTACGCATTACAAGGCAATAGTTTTGTTAACAACCAGATTTGTTTTGATCATGACGTGGGTAACCAAACTGCGAGCTGATGACGATTTCTTCTGCAAAATTACTCAGAGTTAGCAGAGGTGCATGGTTTGCAACAAACAAAAAAGGACAGTAAATCTGGGAGTTCCTCAAGGATCTAAACTTGCAACTATTACAAAACTGTTCAAAACGAAATCATTGCGGATAAAATTTAATAATAAATTAGTTTACAAAAATTTTTCTATAGATAAAGCTATTTATACCCATTACAAGTTTACGAGCTTATCTTCAAAACAAAGTTGCACACCTTTAACGATATCTGAAAGTTTGGGTATTTTTGTTGTTAATATCGACAGGGCTGCTTTTACCAAACTTCCATTCCCTATAGGATAAGCTGGCGGGCATTTTAAAAAACATCAAACATACCCTATAATGCCAATGAAATACCTATGACAAAACCTTAAACTACCAAGACGTTGAAAATTCTCGAAGCCTTTTCGAATTGTTTTGACCACATCTATAGCTGAAAAAATGGGTTTTACTATGTTATTTTTTCTCACGTGCCAATTTATTCCATTATCAGAGGAAAGTCGATTTTGCGCATGCTCGAGCTTTGTTTTGAAAAATGGGCTCTATTTTCTGTCCTTTCTAAAATTTGGCATCAAACAAAAGGTGCTTAATTTTGCCCCTATACAAGGTCTTTCCGACGACACCAATTTGAAAACAATCAAACCAAAACTGTAGAACAAGATAGAAACAGAAATATATTTAAAAAAAAAATTATTCACAAATTTAATAGATTCACAAAATAGTAAAATATAATTTTTAATCTATCACATTTTTTATCTTTCTATCCATAACTTTTGATTGAGACGTCTGATCGAAAAAGTACGAATCGTTTTGGATTCTACGCACCAAAATTAATGAAAAAAAGTGTTTTCCCGAGAAATTTTGGAGCAGTCGATTTTTGGAAAAAAAGGAAGGTATATAACACTGCCTTTTTTTGGGGATGGAAAAAAAATTGTCTCAGATCGACCGGGAAAAAACATTTTCTTATAGAGTTTGGCCCGTAGAATCGATAATTTCAAACAGTTCCAAGATTGGACTACTAGATCAAAAGTTACAGCCCTTTGAACTTTTTGGTCCATAACTTTTGATTGAGACGTCTGATCGAAAAAGTACGAATCGTTTTGGATTCTACGCACCAAAATTAGTGAGAAAAAGTGTTTTCCCGAGAAATTTTGGAGCAGTCGATTTTTGGAAAAAAAGGAAGGTATAACACTGCCTTTTTTTGAGGCCGGAAAAGAAATTGTCTGAAATCGACCGGGAAAAAACATTTTCTTATAGAGTTTGGCCCGTAGAACCCATAATTTCAAACAGTTCTAAGATTGGACTACTAGATCAAAAGTTACAGCCCTTTGAACTTTATGTATATATATATTTTCGAAATTTGTATTTGGTCCATAACTTTTGATTGAGACGTCTGATCGAAAAAGTACGAATCGTTTTGGATTCTACGCACCAAAATTAATGAGAAAAAGTGTTTTCCCGAGAAATTTTGGAGCAGTCGATTTTTGGAAAAAAAGGAAGGCCATTTTTTGAGGCCGGAAAAAAAATTGTCTGAAATCGACCGGGAAAAAACATTTTCTTATGGAGTTTGGCCCGTAGAATCCATAATTTCAAACAGTTCCAAGATTGGACTACTAGATCAAAAGTTACAGCCCTTTGAACTAACGAGAACCTTGAGGTAGTTTGTAGACGGTACGGTCAAGGCTGTTTCGAACAGATCCTGATAATTATTTTTATTGTTACTAAATTGACAATAAGTGATAAGCCAAACTTCCATAATGTCCATAAAAAATGCATTAATTTGTGAAACACAATACGTAATTTAATTTTACATTAACGCTATTCAAGAACAATTGACTGCACACAAGTTATTTTATTAGTTATGGGCAGAAAGAAAAATATTTGCATCTATAATAATTCGTTTCTTCAGTTTCTTCCGTTCTCTCTTCTCATTGTTCAGTTTCAGCAAAAAAATATATTATACTCTTCGGTTTTAGATACTACCATTGAATATACTACGGATCCCATACGTTTTTCAATTTTTTCAGTTCTTTTAGATTTTTCAAATTCTTTATTTTCATGTTTTGCAAATTCTTCCGACTCTTTTTTTACTTTTTTGTTTATCGACTGCCAATAACATCCCCTTCATTGGATACCAGAATTATTTTATTCAACAAAGGCTCATTTCAGTACCTAACAACACATTTTGGGGTTGATGCAAAATCAAGAAAATTATTTTGATTTTACAATTCAAGAACCAGACAGTAAGAATTACCGTTTATTAAAAAAAAACGTATAAAAAAACAGTACATCTTAATGTTAGGGAAACTCGATAAATATTTTCTTCGGATTCTTTTTGCTAATTTTGTCTTCGTTCAATTTGTCTTCTCTCGATTCAAAAATAGCGAAAGTGTGTGACCAAAAGTACTTCTCGATTTCGGCCAGTCTTTTGTTTGCGGTTTCGGGAACGAACAAGAACGTAAACGCAACGCCGACAAGTGCCACCATCGCGAAGAAGTACTGCAGGCCGTCCATTCCTCCTAAGCCGTCCAGCAATAAGGGGTAGCTCGAAACGGCGATGAAGGAAAAGAAGTATAAAAGACCAAAGGCGACGTTGCAGGCGATTCCCCGGACGGGAACAGGGAAAAGTTCCCCTGCAAGCGAAAATGGTATACCCAGAACGCCTGCGGTGAAGACGTAGTACAGGAACAGCATGACAAGCGGAACCCAGGTATATTCGGTTGTCCCTAAAACAAAAGAGATAATTCTGGTCCGTTCCGAAGTACCTACGGTGATTACCAGTCCTAATCCAGTAGGTGTACAATCCCGATACGGCCATAGAGATTGCCATGCCCAGAAAACTGACCATGAGAACTGGACGTTTGCCAAATTTCTTTGTAAGGATGACGTATATGAAAGTGGTTAAAAAGCGGGTAGCTGCCATGTAGGTTGAGGCCAGGTAGGGATCTGTTTTTGTTCCGATTTCCTGCAAGACACAATCAGAACTGTCCAAATTTCGTAATAACCAACCTGGAAGAATATAATGGCATTCATTACAACGACGTACGAGCCAGCAAACTGTTGAATAATAAGCAACAGCGTTAAAATTATGAAAGGCTTGTAAGTTGTTGGGAGGAAAAACTCCTGGACCTTGCTGCTGGTTTTGCAACGAATTCTGTTCTCCTCTTGTTCTTCTTGAATTTTGCCGAGTTCAGTTTGGACGATTTGTTGAACCTACAAAAACGCAATTAGTATAAAGTAAAGCTTGAAAGTTAAAGAGACATTTTCGATTGGTTGATACTTGTTCAACCACTCCAACGCTTTTTTCGCGTCCTCGGTTCGCTGTTTCGCCACCAACCAAAAGGGACTGGATGGAATTGTGTACAATAGGCTTATGAATATCACCCCGTACCCGCAAGAGAACCATGCTACAGCTCGCCAGGAGGCAAAGTATCCTTCAAGGTATACGAGGAGGGTGCCTAATGAGAAGGTAAGGGTTGGAAATATTAGAAGTGCGCCTCTCATGGTAGGCGAACTGATTTCGGATATGTAGACAAAGCACGGTCCCAGTTGAAAAGCTGAAACAAGTTTTATCGTAATTAGATTTGAGAATAGTCACATGCCAGCAGTGACGCACACACTAGTTTTTGCGAGAGATTTTTTACCGTCCGTCCGTGTGTCTGTCTGAGAGTTTTGAAAATGTTCTGTTTTTACATTCTGTAGTTTGTATACAAAGATCATCGCGTCCCCTATTTAAATTATCTTGGAAAAAACGGGCACGGCAAAGCACCTTGCGGTTTCTTTGCAAAAATAATTCACGCTAATTTATGCAGCGAAAATCCCAACGCGCAATTAACTAAATTTGTAAAATTTCCATCCCCTTTATCAGAATACATGCAGTACCTACCTAAACCAAGTCCAACAATCACCCTTCCAATAATGAGAGTTGTGCCACTATTCGCCAAAGCTATCGTAACCCATCCGGCGACGTGCGCTATCACCGTCATCTTCAGGACCCATAGCCGTCCAAACAGGTCCGTCGCGTAACCGGGAAGCACACATACACAAGGGATGACGAGACTTACGCAATTCACTAAAACATCACCCACGTCTTCGATTAAAATCGCCCACACTTAACACTCAAAATCAAATTACCTATCCACATTTCTTCCTGATCCGTAATCTCGATGGGATCGGCGCTATTTTTCAGGGCTGGAATGAGCACAGCCGAGTAGGCCACACTAATCGCGACGTTCATGTAGACCAGAGAAACCACAGTCGCCGCATACATCTGCAAAGAATGAATAAAAAATCCAATCGCCCATTACCAAGACATTTTACCTGAAGAATGTAAACCCTCGCATTGCTGATGATATCACTGAACATTTTGCGCGCTAACTCAGTGTTCGAACTAAGGCAGATTGCCGCGCGTATTCGGTTTTTAAGTGTTTCGACTTACGAAAAAAAACGCAATTGTTTGGTGTTGTTTTTTTACACATCTAACCAATTACCGTTGGCAATTAGAAGCTATTTACATGCTTTGGGAATATCACAATGAGTCAAGAAAAAATTCAGACCCAGGACACATCATTAATATAACATGTCTCTCCACTGTTAAGATCGATAGGTAATAGTTTTAACAATGGCATTTGCACTTACCGTCATTATTTTGAAATATGTGCAAATTTTACCTTCGAACAATTTAACTCCGTAGGTATTTGCAATTCTCATTTAAATGATTAAACTGACCGAGCTTTTTTCGAAGATCTCTTAAATTCTTCGCACAATTGCTTACTCTTCAAATTCAACTCCTTTCGACATAGAAATTTTATTGAAATCTCCAAGGAATTTATCGATTGTAGTATTGAACCGCAATCCTTTGGAAACCTCTCCAAAATTACTTGAATAAATTTTTTTTGGAAACCTTCAGGAAGAAAGCCTTCGCTGGAATGTGATTGAAATTCCATTGCATATCCAAGACAAGCTTAGTGAGTTTTGTATAGCGTCTTTTGAAATTTTCGAATTGTTTATCCCCTGTTTAAATCACTTTTGAATCCTGAATTTCTCGCATTTCTGACCACACCGTATATTTGCGGACTCGGCCAGCTTTGCGGAACACCCGGTATCTAGAAGCGTTTTAAGTTGGGCGCTTAGTTACTAAGAAACCGTTCTGAATTACTTATTTGCTCTACAAGAGGAGGTGAGCGTTGTGTGTTTTCATTTTGTTTAATTGTTTGTCTTACCGCCGATAATGCACGTAAGTTTCGTAGTGAATTTTGCAACCGTTCCCGCAGGAATATTTAAATTGCTTTCTCAACCGACGAAAGCTCTCTTGCCAGGGAAGGGTTTTCCTCTCTAAAGGCGAGGATTAGTAATCCTGCCGAACTTGAGGTGGGCATGCCAAGACAACCTGCGGTTAGTGCTTGCTCCAGCGTCAGCAACTCACTCGGGCCAATTTCGAACTGGGAGGACTTTGCGAATATTGAGCCGCTGTTGGGGTCTGATTCTAGCAACGTCGGATAAATAATAGACAACTGTTGTCTACATACATAAGTATGAAAGAGCATTTTATACAAGTAAACCCATAAAGAGCGTCTAAAAAAGCGGCAGAGCACCTCGGGGTGACCCCACGGAGTCATTGAATTTGACCCATTTTCAATTGGCTCGTTACATGTGGTATATATGTTAACTGCAAAGTTTGAACCAAATCGGTCCAAGCGTTTGACAGTTATCGTGTTCACGGACAGACGGACACCATCGACTCCCCTATAAAGCTTGAATTGCTTTGCTCTGCCGCTTAATAAACACCTCATTATCCGGTTCAGTGGTAGAGCGTTAGACTATAAATTCGGAGGTCGGGTGTTCGAACCTGGGTTGAGGTGAATTTTTCATCTGTGGCAGAGATGGGAATTACCTTAGACCAGTTTGGAGCATTCTGCCGGCTACTCCAAATTAGGTTTTCCTGTAGTTTTCCTAATTCGTAAGGTAAATACCGGAGTAGTATGGAACAACTTAAGACCTACTGCAGAGGCACCCCTAAAAAGCAATGTGCGAGCGCTCTGTAATTGGGCGCAAGCCTGTTGAGGGCCCAGAACCAGAGCTGGGCAGTATTCGATTTTGTAAATACTTTTTAGTATTCAAATCCTTTTCAAATACTTTGTAATTAAATACTTTTATGGAAGCAGTATTTGTATTTGTAACTCAAATACTTTCACAAATATTTAGTATTCGAATACTTTGCAAAGTATTTGGATACTTCGTAAAGTATTCGAATACTTCGCATAGTATTTGAATACTTAACCTTCCTTTTTTACCAAAAATTGACTACTCCAAAATTTCTCGGGAAAACAATTTTTCTTATTAATTTTGGTGCTTATAATCCAAAACGATTCGATTAGACTTCTCAATCAAAAGTTATGGACTAGAAACCAATTACGAAAAAAAATTCAAAGGGCTGTAACTTTTGAACTAGTAGCCCAATCTTGGAACTGTTTGAAATTATGGATTCTACAGGCCACATTCTATAAGAAAATTTTTTTCCGGGGCGATCTGAGACAATTTTTTTTTCGGGGCTCAAAAAAAGGCAGTGTATAACCTTCCTTTTTTACCAAAAATCGACTACACCAAAATTTCTCGGAAAAACACTTTTTCTTATTAATTTTGGTGCGTAGAATCCAAAACAATTCGTACTTTTTCGATCAGACTTCTCAATCAAAGTTATAGACTAGAAACCAATTTCGAAAGAAAATTCAAAGGGCTGTAACTTTTGAACTAGTAGCCCAATCTTGGAACTGTTTGGAATTATGGATTTTACAGGCCACATTCTATAAGAAATTTTATTTTTAAATTTTTAATATATTTGAGTGACAAGTATTTGAATACTTTTTACTGTATTCGAATACTTTTTATAGTATTCGAATACCTTTGAAAGTATTCGAATACTTTTGAAAGTATTCGAATACATTCTAAAGTATTTGAATACTTATTTTTTAAAGTATTTGAATACTTTTCAATGTATCTGTATCTAGTATTCGCTTGTGCTGAACGTAAAAGTATTTACTATTTAGTATTCAAATACTTTTTAAAGGTATTCTGCCCAGCTCTGCCCAGAACAAGAGAGGGTTAATAAATAAATAAATAAATAAAAATAAATAAATTATAAGGTGTGACTCAAATGCCCACCATACTACATGGGGGAGCACTAACGTCAACCCTAGGGATAAATCATTACCTGAATATCTATAACAAGTACTAATCTAGAGATTGTCGAAATCAGGCCGGCGAATCCACTCTGACCACATAATGAACTGTCAAGGCAATCCAGGAGCGATTATGTCAGATCATAAAATAATTTCATTTGAAGTTAACTGCAAGGGAGCCGTCCGAAAGGGTTACAGCAACCCCCAGGTAACGGATATTCCCCTTTACAAACGTCTCTTTGGAGGAAAACTTAGAGGGCACCCTTGCGGGAGCGCCTCTCGGCTCCTGTCCACTTACAGGATAAAGTAGATCTCCTTACCAACTCTATTGTGGAGTCATTTGAACAGGCTCTGACGACTGCCAAGACGCCCTAAACCACCCCAGGTGCAGGTGCAAAACGTTTTGAAAATGTGTAGCGAAACTTTCAAAATAACTTCTTGTGCGATTCTGGGATTTGAACAGAAATATCTTTTTTTCAACGTTGGCAATTTCGACCCCTTAATCCCATCACAGAATTATTGGGATGAATTGATTCGGTCACGCCAATTACCTTTGTTACGGAGGTCCCTAAGGTTATTCGGACATTTGCACTTGTGAAAATTAGTTACCATGCTACCATTTGGAGACAAGCAATTTGGGAAACATTTCCCAAATTATCTGAGAGCTTTTTTTGTAGACACTCCCCATGGTAACCAAGGATTCTACAGTCACCTAAAAATTTCCAAAACTTCAAATGCTATTCTTAACAGCCGTGTGAAATTGATAGTTTTTTTTAAGTTTTAAATGACAATGATTTATAAATTTCAGTATCTTCGTACTTCCTGACAATTCCACGGCCAGGAGACTTGCTTGTAAGAGATAATGACATATACGAAAATAAGCGCTAGCATTTCAAGTGAAATGGTCTTGAAATACCCAAAACATGTCCACATTACCTTGAAAGGTATAAATAAACTTTATAAACAATTAACATTAAAATTGGTCGTCCAACTTACTAATTTGAATTAATCGGCACGTCTCTGTAACGGTATATCCTCCTCTCAAGTCACTGAACGCGCAAAATGATCGGGAATTTTCCCCTAACTACACCAAATTTCGTTACACCACGTGGTCAGTTTACTATGCTAAATCTGTGGCATTTGGTCCCAAATGACCACATCGGTTCTGTACAAAACAGTTCAACATAATTAATGAGGCATCAGTTTTGACAGTAAAACGCCTTAATGCCTTGCTTCGATGTTCAATTTCGTGCATGTACGTCTGTCCGGATGTCCGGCACAAACTACCTTAACCCATCTCGTACGTTTATGCCTACCACACTTGCTACTTTGTATTGTTACAGAAACATTTTAAATAAAATGTTACATAAGGAAAAATGAAATAATTTTTTTATGGATAATCACTAGGTATTCAAATCATAATGTACAATATCACCTTCATGAATAAAATTGTAGTGACCCCATACGTTTTTCCCCCGACCAACTCAATAAAAAAGCGCCATTGTATTACATTCGTGAAAAAAAAACTTCCCAGAATGCATGAAGAAGCCATAGCAACGTTTTGTCGCGTTACAGCGATCTTACCCTTGATGGTTTTGCATACGTCAAATTTTTATTTCCTTGTTTACGACAAATTTCATGTTTGTATTTTGACAAATATTTTTAATTGAATGTTAAGCCTATTTATAACAAACTCAGTAATAAGCTGGAAGGTTTTTCGGTTTTGCTCATCTACTGATTGATTGAAGTCCTAATGCAACAGAAATAAAAAAGTTATACCCATTTTGGGGTTACGTTGTTAACAGTCCATCTTCTTATTCATCTACATATTCTTCATGACAGTTGTAGGGCAGGGAACACTCAATCGCCCCTTCCTTATCCCCAGACCTCCTCATTCTATATTCCTTACCAAAACGTACCATATACCACAATTCGTTAGGAGGGAAAAATTCGATGGTCCTCCATAGAAGATAATCAGGAAAGTTCCACCTTCGTATTTTTGTCTCCATTTTCTTCATCGAGCTCTTGTATATCTTTCTCGGCCTCATTTTAAGGTTGATTTGTAGTGTAGCGAACATTCCAGAAATTCCTATAGACATCGTGGCCCCATGTGAGATTAGTCATCGGTGATAAAGAACGAAGACAGATGTGACGTCATTTGTCCGGGAAATATCACGTATTTTGTTCTAGAATGTTCGCGACCACTCGGAAACGCTCGACTTTAGCAAATCAGATTGCGACAGTTCCAACTTCGATTTGCTTGTGTTACATTATAAACCATAAGTGATAAATAATGAT